TAAACTCAAGTTTTGTGATATTTGTTATTTGATTAACTACACAGTAAAGTAAAAAAGAAAATATAATTAGTGTCGAAAAATATGATTAGACATCATATAATAATTAATCATGACATAAGTTGCATGTTTTCCTTTAGGGATAAACATTAATTTAAAATAATATGTTCTTCGAAACACGTGCTACTTCAAGAACACATATTTTACTATTACCTTTTCAAGAGCAATATGTCAATATTCTTCTGAAATATTGAAAAATATAATTTAATCTCTTCAGGAGCAAGTAATATTATTCAAGAATATTAATTATAATATTGTACTATTCTAAGAGCATCAACAAACTATATATAATAAATAGATTTTCAATTAATATACTTCTGGAATAGTAATTATAATGTTGTGCTATTTCAAAAGCAACAACATGATAAATTGTTAAGTTAAAGTTTATATAAGAACATTTAAAATATTTAATTACCATATAGAAATTATATGAATTTAAATACAAGAATTAATCACAAAAAAATGTATAAGTAAAGAAAAAAATATCTTCCAAGCATGCACATGAAAAGAATATTTAATTACCATATAAACATGATTTTTTTTTATTTTTTTTGCAGTAACCAGTTCACATATTATGACGTGAAATTTAAAAAACCTATTATGAAGTGTCTAAAAGAAAGAGAAGAAGAAGCAATAGCTAATTTTCATAAATTAATTAACTTGCAAAAGTCAATTAAAGTAAACAAAAGTTTGGCACAAAGGTTACCCCAGGAACACGTATCCATAAGTAAAAAAATTGACTTATTGGATTTAATTAGTAGTAACCACTAATTACGAAGAATTTCCTATTAGGCGCAATAATGGATTTAATTAGTAGCAACAACTATACAGAATCCAATTTGCGTGAATCATTGAATTTGAAAGAATTAAGAAGCTGGGTACTGGCGACGGGTGCAATACCATAACAAGGATATTTAACTGTGTATATGTAAAAGAAATTTTACGTGTAATCAAATTAGTTTTTATTCACGTAATAGATGATTATGCTTTAAAAGAATTACTACCTTCACTATACTTTGAAAAAATTAAGCTTTCGTGCCGATAACGTATTATAAATGTGAAGATAAAAGAAGACAACAGAGAGAAGTCAATAGACTTGTGTGTACTTTATTAAAGATCAAAGTCATGTATTTATATAGCAGAATCAATGATACAATAGTAATAATTTCTACGGCTGCAAGTGTAAAATTGTCATTCCCGTCTAAACCCTAATAAACTTACCTTTTACAACACTTTCATGTATAATCCTGCATAATCTCGAATGTTATCAGATTCGGTATGTAGAACAAATAATACAATGCAAGCAAAAGTTCCTAGATTCATGGAGATATAGAACAACATATAAGTTATCATGGTTGCATATCCATCATTTGAGTCTTCAACAATTATTCCAATAATTACATATATCTAGTTTGACTCCCATCTTCGAATCAATTATTAATCCATTTTTCAGGAATCCCATTTTTTGTAAATTATTTTGTCCCTTCCACTTTCTCTATCATTATTCCACCCGAATACAATATGAATGAGCAAATTAATTAGGGCAAATTGTTGCATATGCATAGAAATATCATTAGTTGATTGATCTAAATTCATATTGAATAAAATTAACTGAAAGTAGAATAGTTTCTCGTGTTTTTTATTTAATTGCACGTGGTAAACATAAATCTTATTCCAATTTTGATTTGAATAACAAGATTGGTTGACCAATATAAAGCAAATATTCGTTGGAAGGTATGTTAGTAAGTGGACAATAAGGGAATTTTAGGAAAGAGCCCCTTTTTTTGTTCCTATTACTTTCTATTTTCTATCATATATAGCATCATTGTATATTTCTATTCCTTAAGTCAATTATCTTAAGCCACACATACATTGCTTTGCATTGAGCTAAAAAAATAAAAAAAAAAGGACTATTCCAAAAATTAGAATACCAAATAATGGTGGCCAAACGGGGGGCATAACTTTTTTGTCTATGGCTAAGCATCCATATAAAGCGCCCATCTCATAATTGGCGAATTCGTAAGTTCAATTCTACTGGATGCACGCCAATGGGACCCTCATTCTCCATTGCGAAAAATATCGTTTGAGGTTGTTGAAAAATATATTTTTGCAAGGAGATAAATGGAGAAGAATCAAAGAATAAAAACCAGAAACAAGATATCAAGATGAAGGCCCGAACAAGTGATCGTTATCCTCAAACGATATTTGCCTTCCCTTAGATTTAAATTTGGTGCTTTAAGGGATTATCGGCAAATGGTTTGCTTGATTTGATAAGGATTAATTACTCGAGCACTGTAAGTGAAATCCCAAAACTTGAAAACGGAAAATAATGAATATGACATTACAAGGAGCTTTGATTTTTGAATGAAAATTATAATCACCGAAATTGGCTTTTCATATATTTCATAATGAACCTTAACCACATATATATATATATAGGTCTCAACTATTCTCCACGAATTGGTGCCAAAAACAAATGAAAAGCCACCAGAATTCAAATAATAACAGCCATAATGTTGTTCTATGCAGTCGTAGAGGCCAATCCTATGCAACAGTATACTTTATTTAACGGCAGGGCCATTAGGCATATCACTATGCAACCGCATAGGCCATTCTCATCTTTGGCCTCCGGTTTCAATTTTCATTCCATACACATTTTATTAGTTGTTGAACAATATTCCAACAGTAGGTATGACTTATGAGGCTGGCCCAGAAACCTTAGGCATCGTACAAACAGTATATATATATCCTGGTATATTAAAATGGACTACTGAATTGTATGATAAAATGCACAAAAAGCGGGTTAAAATTTTATGTTGTCATAAACATTAATATCTAATGACCGATGGCTCTATTTGATCCTATATGTTGGCAAATAATTTTATGCATTGAGAAAAAATTTCAATCATTATACTTTAAAGAGAATTAGTTACAAATACACTAGAGAAAGAACCAGATGAGTATTTGGTGAACTTTTGTTTTAAAATTAGTGTTCTGATGAGGGTGTTTTACTCTAATAGTAAGATTAACTAAACTTGATATTCCGTTTCGTTTTTTGGGTTTTTAAATGTTTTGATGTGTATTTTTGTGTTGTATTATAGGTTAGCTGAATTGGCGAAAATTGTGCAATTGTTCAAGACAATGAACAAAAGAGTGATGTTGACATGAACCAAGAAGAGGATGACATGAAAATAGGCAAAGAATACTAGGAATGAGCCAAAGTTGCATGAAAAGAGGAGAATTGTGTACAGCCCATCTACGCTGCACCAAAAGGCAAAGTTCATTATCTATGACCAGCTAGTCACTATCTTAGTTGATGACGAAGAAGTGGGATCAAGTTCCTTGCTATGCACCTAAACAAAGTCACTTTCCTTTGTTCGGCCTAAAACAACTGTATTTAGTTGAGAGGGCTTTTCGAAAGGCTATCAACTGAAACGTTTACGTATATAGAGCGCTACCATCCAAGCGCTCAGGCACCATTATGTTGGAAAACAGAAAATTTGAACAAAGTTTGGGTGCCCAGGCGTTACACCTTTAACTCCTGGGTGCCACTCAACTGAGCTATGCTACACTTACAAAGGTGGGTTACAAAGTTGGTTGACAAAATAACATCTACACCAATCATTTCAAAAACAGATTTTTAAATCATTTCAAATCAATGGCCTTGATTTTGCCAACACACTTTGTAATCCAACTTTTGTAACCCAACTTGATACAAGTAGCTTTATTGCCCAACTAAACACACAAGGCAACATACCCAGGCATTGCGCCGTTTCACCTACGATTATTTTTTATCTGTTAAAAACCCACAACTTAATATCGAGATAAACATTAGAAGAGGCATAAATCGTTGATTTAGTCTAACTCTCACTTTAGATTCATTTACATTACATTAATACCATAAATTTGATCATTCAAATAAAGTAAAGACTATTTAATTATTAAGGTACTTAATACGAACTTAGACCCTATTTGGCACCCACTTTTTGAAATTAAAATTGGTGGAATGATATTTTTTTGAAAAATGAGTAGCTAAAAAAAATTTTAATTTACGTATAATATTATTTTACGAAAGATTGTGTGATTGAAAATAAAAAATAGAAAACAGAAAAATGAAATAATTTAATGGGGGCCAAAGGAGACTTAATTGTCAATCCCTGCGAATTCAACATCCTAGCTCATCATCATATTATAAAACTTAACACCGTGCTCATCATCATATTATAAAACTTAACACCGTGCGCTTGTGATATAGCTCGCACCTAACATTTCAAAATTAACATTTGAGCATTTGGTAAATAAAAATAATTTAATAATCTTCGTGTATATAATTATTGAAGTGGACTTTGATTGTAATAAATTTTCTGTTATTAACATTACTGGCAATGTAACATTTGTTTTTGCTTTTATATAAATTTAATATTTTTCTAGTACAGTGCATTCACTACAATTACATAAACTTCAATAAGATTGACGCATGTTGAATCTGATAATTTACAAAGTTGCAAAATAAAAGCATAGTCCTCATAGTAAATTAATCATATAAAATAAAATCTATATTTTCGAAGCAAACCTGCAGCAATTCAACTTCTCAATTTCTCATTTTCATATAATAAGATAAACTATGAAATTAATTTAAATTATCTTTAATGAGAACCATGAAATAAAACATGGTTTATTATTGAATTACTAATAAACCTAGAACATAAAAGGAGTTACTTTAAAATTGATATTTTAGTAAAAGATGAGTGCATAAACTGAAAGCAAAATCTGAAAAGTTACCATTTCGTGGCTTCTCAAACTCTTTATCCCAAATGGTTGGGATTCTCTATAATACCAATCTTCTCGCATCAAATGATCTATGAAATAATATATCTTAAGTTTTCTACAATTTTTTAATTTGCTAACATTAAAAAAAAAAAAAAATGAACAGGGGAAAGAAAGGAAGGAAGTAGACACCAATATAACAGAATAAACTCTTGAATTCATGACAGAAGTTTCTAACATCCAGTAAATGCATGAAAATAAGCAACGCTTAAAACTTACATTTGACTGCTGGAGCAAGGGAAAATCGAAAACTGCAACAGATATAAGATCGATAATCCTATGACTAGATCGATAGGAACTTACATTCATTATACATTCTGAAGCCATGGAACTTAAAATCAACGAGAAGACAAAAAGCAATAATGTAGAACCACTCTCAAAATCCTAGCTCCTGCTTTGGAGCTTTCAAAGAAAACGTCGAGTTGGTCGGTGGCTGCAAAAATAACCAGCAACATTATTTCTCAATTTTTATTGCTCAAAGAAACATTAAGAATTTGTTTCCACAGCACTAATGCTCAAGTCTCAGTAATCTTAGCAATAAAACGAAGGCAATCCAATAAAAAAGAGTGAAGAATGATCTGACTAACTAATTGCTGGCGCGGTTTTGGTTTCACAAATATAACACTGCCTTCTCATTACAACAGCATAATAAAGGCTTAAGATTTGCAGAATGAAAACTTTGCCAAAAATATATTAATAGCTAGGAGTGGGCATTTTTTCCCGGAACCGGATCAGAACCGTTTAGAACCGGCCAGTTCGGTTCCAGATCTTCAAGCATTATTGATGGAATCGTCTAATGATGCACAGACCGTCATCCGAGGCTGCATCCCTTTAATTTGCATATTGGAAAGCAATTCAATTTTTATTTTATTTAGCCTGGGGTGGAGTGGATATGGGAGAAGAACCTTTAACTACATGTAATTTCAACAGTAAGGATAAGATCATTCTTACCTTGGATTGGAGACCAATTATAGTTGACTTCAACAGCTGATCCCCAACTATCAATCTCAACTTTCTAATAAACTCATCTCGCGTGATTTTCTTGCTCTATTATAGTGCCCAAAAAGAGTGATTAAATAAAAAAAAAAGGGTTAAATACAAAGGAGAGAGAAATGGAACAGAAGCCGCAGTTATAAATTCCTTGACATACCCTGAACAACGCATATTGAGAACGCACCAATTTCATCTCCTCAGGAGAAACTTTATTCGAAATAGCTTCAAATAACTTAGCAAAAGGCATCCAAGGTGATTTAGGAGCCTTGGAGTTAGTCAACCCAATGCTAGGGGCCTCTTGCGCAAATTTGTTCACGAACTCATGGGTGTCACAATTTCTCCCCTAATAACATTGAACATTATTTACGAAAACAGGAAGTTAAAAAATAAGTGAATTTATCATCATTTTTTATCGTAGGAAAAAAAGTCACTGATGCTTGTTATGAAAAAAATAATAATGATTATCTAATCAATAAAGCAACTAGGATATGAGAATAAGGCCGTTACTGCAAAATCCAATCAAATAGCTAGTAAGCCTCTTATTATTCAGGTTCAAAATTCACAATTACGTATTAATTCTCTTTGAGGGCTAAATTTTACAAGGGATACAACATTTCCAACTTAGACTAAAACGGAGAAGGTGGGGGTAGTTTGGCAAATTAACAAAGTGCATGAAAGAATGACTTGCAAGAAAGAAACCGAGAAATCTGACATTCAAAACCTTTTTCCAATTTGAGAGTCTCAAATAAATATGCTTGTGAAAGTCAATAAAGATAGCAAATCTAAAATTGTCACTATCCGTCGAGTCTGGACTTTGAAGTTCCAATTCGTTCTCCCATTTTTCAGAAAGTGAACAAACAAAATTTAAGAGGACAGTGTTAGCAATGAAAATTTATAGAGCCCCAGTTTGGTTTAGATAATAAACAGATTTTTAATAGATTTTGATAAAAGTTGAAGAAATGTATGGTTGAAAAGTTGATAAAAGTTATCGATCACATTAAATGTGTGATTAAAATTAGTTGACTTTGACTTAGATTTTTATCAATTTTAGCTAAACCAAATAGGGGCGTGCATGATATATGCAATGAAGCAGCAACAAACCAAGAATCAATTTAACTTTCATCACAAAAACAAATCCTCTAACTGCCAACCCACATCGCATTTGTGAAGAAGATCCATGAATTTGAAGAAACTTGCATTGCAGGAGGAGAACAAATTTCTATTACGGAAATAGTGATGACACTAGATCCGAACCGGCAAAACCCAAGCAGACTATTATGAAGAAAACATACTTCCTCCACTTATTGCCATGGCCATAATTTTGCATATGTTATTAGGAACAAGAGTGGATTTCATGGTATGCCTTCTTTTTCCCCAGGTATACCATATGCTATTTTTCTTAAAAATACATGCCAAGACAAGTATCATAGGTCCCCACAATTAATCAAAGAACATTAGTTTTTGATCAAGGAACATGACGCAAATGCACAGAAGCTTTTGTGTCAGTGATGCATGTCTTCATATGCTTGAATTGGACCACCTGACTTGGTATTGTATCGATTGAAACCTTCCCATTGAAGGTAACTGTTCACTAGACAAAATCAGTATCCAAAAGTCATTTGGAAAAGTAGAGCATTACCCATTCATCTGGAGGCGAATCAAGCTGTAACTGGCACTGTGCTCCCTGACTAGTGATTCCAGACACATCAAGCCTGCTCCCTTCCGCAACAGAACACCCTGCAGAAACATGGAGAAAGTTCATCCTTGAGTACACAGAATTCTTTAATATACAGTCAGCGAGCAGGTAAATCAACCAATTTACATAAAAAGATAGTATGTATGCTCATGTATTATTCAAACAAATTCATCAACTCTTAATAGAAGAACAGTAATCTTGCCACTATCCATGCCCAGACGTGAAAGATCACATAACTTCGTATAGGCACTAGGAGTGGGTCCAGAATAATTAAACCTTTTCACTTTAGAACCATGCATAGCATAAAATATTTATATTTATTTTTAAGGTCAATAATTATCCAAAAATAGCTTATTCAAACTTCTCAATCACTGTAAGACCCTGGACAAGTGTCTGAACTATTGTCCAGGTTCCAAATGTTTTGACGGCACCACAGGTGTAAGACAAACATTGTTTCCTACCAAAGCAGTAAAAAAAGAAAAAAAGAAAAATTAATAGCAAACGAAAGGCACAGGGGAAACATAAGCTAATTATCCTTAGAATTTTAAGTAGTTTGCTCAAGATGTAGGGACACAGATGGCTGTTTCCTTTTATTCCCAGTGGAAAGCCACACGGGATGGGGGTGGGAAAATGCAGTAGTTTACTTCAATTTATCAATCCTATAAAACTAACTCTACAGTTTTATAATCGTACCACAATTAAGTTGTTCTTTTGAACAATTTTGGCTCCCCCATGATGGGGATTTACGTAATCACCAAAATCTGAGTCATATGTAACTGCATTCTTTTACGCGCAGTGACAGCACAGCAAAGAGGCCAAACGGAACACAAATTTGAACCCTCATAGATGTATCAAATTCCTTTCTTGGAAAAATATATTACGTCAAAAAGACACATGCAATGTCCATTTCCAAACTCGTAGTATGACATTTGAAAGAAATTCGACCTAACAAACTGTCAAGTGACTTAACAAAACCTGTCATCTCCCTCATTAGCTGATAAAACATTGGCAAATAAATTGACTAGAGTCACAAATCAACATTATATTTATGTAAAAAGGGCTCAATAACAATTGTTTCTCCTATATCCACATCAATAAGACCAAGAGAAACATGTCAAAACTTCACACTGAATGACAAACTCCATACAGGGAAAATAAGACAATATACTTATAAAATAGGTACTTGTACTTGGATATTGATATGAAGAAAGCAAACATAGTGCACACAAGAAATACCTTCAAGCCCAGGAGATACTCTGAAGCTAACAACATATTCTGGATAGATGTGTGTGTTCAAGTTCATATTCCAAACAATATAATGACTTGGATTCTTCAAATCGTCAACACCGTTGTCATAGATTTCATCACTAGGATGCCACTGTTGAGATTCGGGATGCAAGGGTTCCATGTTTCCTAATATGACGCGACAAAGCAGCATATGTTGCACCCCATTTTCATCAATATCACAATAACTTGCACTGATACAAACAAAAGATGAATACTTCTAAGAAAGAAAACTAATAGCAAATATGAACAACAGAGAAAGATTTATTCCCCCTACTATCATGTAGAGCTTTGTCAGAGAAAAGCTAGCATTGCATCACTAACATATATGTGTGTGTGTGTGAGTGTACACACACACACACACACACACACACACACACGAGGGGCTTTTACTCCGTGACTTGTTGATAGTTTAATGTAATATGAATAAACATCTAATTATTATCAATAGCAACCAGAAAAAATATAATTATCCAATTATTAAGTTTGTATGTACCATACACACACACACACACACGAGGGGCTTTTACTCCGTGACTTGTTGATAGTTTAATGTAATATGAATAAACATCTAATTATTATCAATAGCAACCAGAAAAAATATAATTATCCAATTATTAAGTTTGTATGTACCATACACACACACACACACACGAGGGGCTTTTACTCCGTGACTTGTTGATAGTTTAATGTAATATGAATAAACATCTAATTATTATCAATAGCAACCAGAAAAAATATAATTATCCAATTATTAAGTTTGTATGTACCATATATATAAGTATACATCTTTGCCTGAAGATTATGCAAAATATAAGTACTTCATTCAAACCTGGCATAGGCACTATTTACAGCAGTGAGGTGAGCTCCATGTCCATATTTGGTCTTAAATTCAGGTCCTCCATGCCCAAAACCATACATCATAATGCTAGGAACTGTATGTTTGGAAGAAGCAAGCCAAGCATATTGAACATTTGCGTCCCCACGATACATTTGTGTGATTTCAACCTGCTTCTTGAACAGTTCCAAACGGGTTTGCAACATGTTATTAAAGCAATTGCTAATTTCAACTATTTCCACTTTTCCAAGTGGACTCATTCCCATGAGAAACATGCTTCTTACAGCATCTGAATCCACAGCTTTAAATGCAGAGTTGAACCTCGAAGAAATTTCTTCTCCAGTCTGTTTGTTTTCGACATAACCCTGTCCTCTTTTTGCATCAGATCTTTGTTTATCTTTGTAGTCACCAGAAAATTCAGAGTAATTTTGAAGATGTTCTTGGTTAATTTTCAACTTCTTTGCACTGAAATTTGATTCTTCCACACATTCCTCGGTATTACAATTATTCACTCCATTTACTCCTATCTCAAGGTGCAAATTTATTTCAAAAGCTCCATTTTGGTTGTCATCAACAAATTCTTCATCTCTTTTAGACTCGGTTAAACAGGTATCATGCATATCAACATCGGCAGAATATATCTCTGGAAAGAAACATCTGTCGGCTTCATCAATCCATGCAATAGGCTTTTGTAAACCTGTTGCTAAATCTACTTTAACCATACGTAGGACATCTAGAATTATACGAGAATCGCTAAGATGTACCTCAATTGCAGCCTTCTTTGTCAGAAAATCTTCTTTTACAGCATCAATAACATCCTGAGTAAAATTATTCCACTCACTATTCTGATAAAAGAGTAAGCGTTTTGGCGGTCCACTTTTCATAAAGTTTGAGTAATTTTTGAGCAGAGATTTCTGCAAGTGACAGTCACACTTTGTTTGGCATTCATCCGTTCTTTTCCTCTTGCCAAGCTTGCTAACAATTGAGTTATGGTTGGACTGCACTGACAACAACTTGCAACTAGATCCAATCCTATGTGCCAAGTTTTTCAAGTCAACAACAATCTCACGACCATCATCTAATACTACATTAACTGATTTTGATTCCATTATCTACAAGAACAAATTCTATTTACAAACTCGGCTTCAAAAGGATAACTGATGGCATAAAGTATAAACACTCAAGAAAATATCGTGGGGAAACACTTCCATAGAGAGAAAACTGCGAATCCTGTCAGGAAAAAATTAAAATAACAAAATCAGTTTTTATAAGGCATCCATAAAGCATCATAACATATCAATTGGGCCTTCTATGCATATCTTCCAAACTGTTGTCAGCCATGCACATGGTGTCAACTAACAATGCTAGATAGAGAGAAACAAAATGATAGAGAAAATAACAAATAAAAGATTCCAACTACGGTTTTTTGCCAAAAGGAAAAGAGGGAAAGTTGACACTCACAATTGGCACATGCGAAAAAAACCTAATTAAACCATTGGCCTAAGAAATTTAATGAAACGATAAAGAAGTAAACATCGGTAGCTTTATAGAATATAGATCCAGTAGGTCTAAGTGATTATGTTAGTAAAACCTGTATGATAACTTTAGTATAAAAGTGACTACATGTCAAATAACTTGCAGCGTTGCTTACCACATGCTCCAATGAGTGGCCACATCTGTACAAGCTCCTCTGCGCCATGACAGTGATGTAAACTCGACTAATTATTTCCCTTTCTCTGCGATTAGGAACTAACCCTTTCTGTGTGACTACGAACTAACTAACCGCTAACAGCACCAATGCATTAACAATCCTCTAAAAGGTAAAATATTGTCAGTACCGAAACTATAGATAAAACAATTAATTAGATAAACAATCACAATTAATTAGATAAACAATCACAATTAATTAGCTAAACAATCGAAGAGATAAACATACAGCAATGAAACTTGTAAACATAGACATAAAATGCTTCCACTGTTGGAATAACACAGGTCACATATCCGGCAACATAAAGAAACAAAATCCAGATCATGTTTGCTTACCCAGTAGGAATTTTCCACCCCGGATAGTAGCTCAAATTCAAAATACTCAAATTCAGCAGAATTGACACTCATATCAAAACGAGAAAAGGAACTTGACCATCGAGTAAAGTCCATCTCCTTATTCTTCTTTCAAGAGGACCATAAACATCTGATATCTCGCTCACTCACACACGGATGCAGACTAGTTTATAATATGTGAAATCTGTCTGAAATCTAGTTTGTAAAACATTATATAACTCACAAATCCAGATATTTTAGCAGAAAAAATTACAGACAGCTGCTCATTTCAACCATAAAGAAACAAAACTCTTTATGTAAAAAAATAAATAAAACTCTTTATGTAAAAAAATGAATGAATAAATAAATAAATAATAATAATAATAATAATAATAATAATAATCATGATGATGATGATGCCTACAACAATTAAAAACCCCACATATTCACAGCAAAATATCAGTCAAAAAATCATAAGTGATCTCCAACAAGCATTTACAGAAAGTCAACCATCCTGGATTTACAAATTCCTGAAATAACTAAATAATTCGATTTCTAAAATGCATAAACAAGTACGCCGAGCACATACTTCTAGAATATATATATATATATATAAACATTGTGCGTTAAAGAATAGAACTTTACATCCAAAATACGTGAGAAAATATGAAAATAAACCCCGATCTGTGCAATAACTTAACATCTAACACCAACGGAAAATTTTTAAAAAAAAAAAAAAAGGACATAATAAAAAATTAAAAAAAATATTTTACCTTATAAACAAAAATCTCTTCACGGCTTGATCTTGATTCTGTCTCCTGGAAGTTTTATTCTTGGGATATGAATGAACTGAATAATTGATTACAGAGCGGCAGAGACTAAAGGCGATGGTTGTGAGTTCATGAATAATTTATGAAGTATTTATTTAAATAATTTATTGATTAGTATAAATATATTTTTCTGGGTCTGACTCGATTATATCTGTTTGCTTGGTGCAAAAGAAATAAGGACGAAAATAATTAGAGAGAGAAAGTGAGAGGAAGGTGGGAATAGACCGACCACCTCGCAGCAGTCGTCTGAGGAGATTTTCGAGGGATTGGAAGGATAGAATTATAGAAATGACATTTTATAACGGGATGGCGTGGAGTGGGGTTACCGTGTTACTTCACGGGGAATGGAAAATTTTTGCTTTCTTTGCGGGCCCTGTTTGGTATTAAAGTCAGATTTATTTTTTATTTTTTTAAATTTTGATAAAAGTTAATAAGTCCATGTTTAGCTCTCATTCTTTTCTCATTAAAATAAAAAATATGATCGTTATCCATCACATTAAGCCATCAAATTTGAATTTCTATCTCTTATACAGGGCTCATAAAGACTATATTTTTCATTCTCATTTTTTCAAAAATGAGAAACAAACAGTAGCTAAATGTATAATTGAAAAATTGTGAAACTTGTAAAATATTTACTTAAAATTGATTATTGACTTTAATTTAAATTAAAATTTTAATTTTAATCGCTGCCAAACATAAACATAAGACATTATTTTTGATAGTGGGCTAATAATAACTTAAGAAATTAAACGCATTTGATGACGTGAAAATGGATGGATCAATTCGAACTGCGCGAAAACTTTTTTTCTCTTACAATTACTATTAGGACATGTTTGATTGACCACATTTTTCATGGAAAATGGTTTTCCACCAAAATGGCTTGTTTGATTGCAACATTTTATAGGGAATTCCATTTCCTCCACAAATGTGCATTTTTCGTGAATTGGTGGAAAACCAATTTTCACCGGTGAGAATTGGTTTTCCAGCTTTATTTTCTATTTTATTTTTTTAGACCTTTTTTTTATTTTCAATAATGGGAACAAATTTTATCCACAATTGTAAAAAATTATATTCCTTTAATTGACAATTTTCATAAAAATATAGCCAAACGTATACTAAAAAATTCAAAATTTCAACATTTTTCAAGTAGAAAATTATACAAATCAAATATATTTAATTGACAATTCCTACGAAAACAAGTCCTAGGAAATTCAATTCTTTAAAATTCCTTTTTCTTTCCACCCAAATTCCATTGTTACAATCAAACTCAATTCTTTTAAAATACAATTACAACAAATCAGTCGAATTAGATATGTGATATCTAAAGCATGGGTCCATAAGAGAAATAGATATGTGAATGTCCTAAGTTCACCCATGTCTACATCTTTTCATACATCCTTGGATGAAAAAAGTGTGATGATATGTCCAAATCTTGAAGAAATTGGAAAATAAAACAATGAAAAAACTTGAGTAAATTTCTTGGTGATGATGTGATGGAGAGAAAATAAAAATAAAAATTTCATTTACTCGTGTTGAATGGCATGCTTAATTGGGCTGTTTCCAATACACCTTTTTATGCATTTTTATTGTTTATTCCACTTTTTGACTTGATTTGGAATCTATTTTGCTCTATTCAATCAAACATTCTTAGCCCTTGTTTGATCCCCATTAAATTAAATTATATTACATTATATTTTTTCTCTCTCCTATTTTCAACCACACAATTTTTCATAAAATAATATTACACGTAAATCGAAAACTTTTCCTTCTTTTTTAGCCACTCGTTTTTTTAAAAAATACTATTCCCCCATTTTCATTTTCAGGTAATGGGGATCAAATAGGAACTTAGAATGATTGATTAAGCTTAAGAGTAAGGAGAAGATAGCATAATAAAAGTGCAAATAACAAAGTTTCTTAGATCAATGAGTTAATTTAAGAGTATCTCGCTATAAAAAATAAAGACAGTCATTGAAATAAATAAGAGATACTAATAGAAAGAAGATTGCACGAAGATATAAGCCCATGATATTTTAGTAGTGATTTTCCTCAGGAGATATATCCCTCTTATATATCTCCTCCCCCCCCCCCCCCCCCCCCCCCCAGCTATAAGATGGTGTCTTCAACTAGCTGTCCCAGTGCCGTAGATCTTGGCATGATAGAGTTGGGGAAAGACCTGTGTTCGTGAATACTCTTTCCATAGCACGAGTAACTTATTGGAAAGAGAAGTCTTCCCTTACTTTTTGAAGAGGATTATTGATTGAAAGAAGATGTATAATGAGGTTTTCTATGTTTGTTTTTTCTCTCAAAAAATTTGAGAGGTGTTAAAGTGTAAAGAGTATGCTTGCTGTTTCTTTTTTCAACTAGTCATTTTAGTTCCGTTCACAATGGGAAGATCCCATAATTGCTCAAAACGCCATTTTTAGTACGACATACATCATGGGTTCCAACAAACCATGATATTATATTTTGTATTTTTGTAATTTTTAACTAAGAAAATACTTACTTCCCAATAGGCTTATAGACTTGAGACCAAAATGTGAAAGTGTGACAAACGAAGGTGGTTGTGATGTAAAGAAAAGTTGATATAGGTGAGCCCACTTGGAAAATAATTGAGCATCAACATCTTTCAAGTTGATGGGATTCTTGATTTTGAATTTTTTTTATGCAGATGCCTTGATGCATTTACCATTTAATATTTCAAGAATAATAAAAGAAAAAGAAAGATACCAATATTCAACCTTTAACGCTCTAATGTTCAAAGAAATTTAATAGTCTTCGTTTCTAGACGGTGTCATTACGCTAGACAATTTCCAATCTTAAATGATTCATTTTCAAGCCATTAAGAATGGGAGATAAAAAGTCCCTATTTGGCCCCTACTTCATAAAACACTTCTTCTTCTTTTCTTTTTTATAAATTCATTTTCACAATTTATTTTATGGAACCCACAACTTTTGTCAGTTTTTAGATTTTCACTTCTTATTTTTCTACTATTATCTAATAAATTAATATGAAATATCCTTTAAAATTTTCACTTTTCATGCTCTTAACACTCTCTAAAGTCTAAACCATTGCTAAAGCGGAATCACAATCCTTGGTGTTGAGCCTAACACTCTTTTAAGAATACCAAACCTACTTAGAGCTATTTTAATATAATAAGTCATCCCTCATGTTGTCAAAAGCAGAGATAATACCGAATTAATTTGATCTCACTTTGTTGGAGAAAATAAGAGATTATGTCATAATATGAAGAAATTGATCATAATAACACAAGAATAATATAATTTTGTAGATAATGGAGATTGTATTATAATATGGAGAAAAAATACAAAGATTGTATGTTTATAATGTTTCTAACTTCTTACTAAATCATAATGAAAAGCCAATTATATATAAAGAACAAATAGGAAATGTCCAAACCCTTATGATAGAGTTGTATTTGAAGTAGAATTCAAGAGTATGGAAGAAAAATCATGCAAAAGGCTAAATCGAGGTGCCAGTGGGCTAAAATCTCCTTGGCCCCTTGGGTCCTTAACTCCTAAATCTTGATTTTCTTTATCCCAATGTCTTCTTTAAGCCCAATGCAAATTTTTACTTCTAATATGCTTTCAATTAGAATTCTCAAAACAAACTTGAATAGGATTTCACAGTAACATTTCAAATAGAATTCTTCTTAATATGCGCTTTAATTAGAACTCTCAATTATATTTAACAAAGATTCAAGTTACACCCAAGTTTTAACACAACACAAATATTTAAAAAGAGTCGTGTCTAAATTCTAACATACAACGGATATTTGAAAGAGAGAGGGAGAGATTGAGAGAAATTTGGCTTTTGATTGTCTTCATTAATAAGAGGAGCTCAATATTGCAAATTCTAATGATAAAAGTCAGTCTTTTTTTATTTAGACTCGCAAGAAATCTCTCTTTTATGTCCTTACCAACATGGGGATTATACTTAGTCCCTTTGTCCCAATTTTTCAAAATTATTTTTTTTCAAATTTATTTTAAGTTATAAATTTTATGGGATTCATAATTTTTATCAACTTTTCAATTATATATTTATTAATTTTTATCAAAAAAAAATTCTTATCTAAGCCAAATAGTGGCTTAATATAATGGAACCACCAATTTTAACATCAGGTTTTATTCAATCTTGATATATCCAGTACTATTTAATCAAATATATGCAATTTATGTGAAACAAAAACTGAAGAGTTCCTTTTCTCTAGGATAAATTTGACTTTTCTTAGAGAAAATTAATAGACTGCAAAGAGCAACGCTATCAAGCTGTTGTTTGGTCCCCATTATTTTCAAAATGCATTTTCTCTATTATTTTTAATCATACATTCTTCAATAAGATAATATTACATGCAAACTTAATTTTCTTTATTTTTTTTAAGTACACTTTTTTCCATCAAAATACTATTCAAAAATGCATGTTGAGAAAAAGTTGGGGGCTCGAACAGACTCTTGCGTGTAATTTGTATAAAGGCTCGGGCCCACAACCGGGTTGGGCCCAGTTACATGTTGGAGAAGACGTGCAGTCAGATCTGGTTGAAAAATGGGCTTCCTTTGTGGTGGGCTAGAAAGCCCCACATATTTAACTATAGACTTGAATAAGCTGGCCCACATGAATTTTATTATGGGAAAATTTCATAACTAAAAAATTAATTATGACACATTTCCAAAACAAGAAAACAAGTTTCAAATTTCTAAAATCAGATTTTTATTAAAAAATATTTATAATGTAATTAGTTAATTAATTATTTTATTAATTAAATATATTTAGGTCACAGATCTATACAATTTGGTCACAAATTAACAATATAATTAGTCACTTATTATTTTTTGGTCATAAATCAAAAATTTTATGTCACAAATTTTTTTACGATCATATTTCAAAAATTTTGTAAGTCACAGTTTGTTTATTGGTCACAAATCCAAAAATAATTAGTCACGGATTAATTTTTAGTCACGACTTATCATATTATTGGTCAAAACCTATTTTTCGGTCACTAATTAAAAATTTTATAAGTCACATATTATTTTTCGATCACGAATCAAAAAATTTATTGGTCACAGATTAATTTTTCGGTCACAACTCAATAAATTATAAGTCACAAACACAAATTTTATAGGTCACATATTATTTTTCGATCACGAATCAAAAATTTTATAGGTCACAGATTAATTTTTCGGTCACAACTCAATAAATTATAAGTCACAAACACAAATTTTATAGGTCACATATTATTTTTCGATCACGAATCAAAA